AAAAAAAAAAAAAAAAAAAAAAAAAGAAAATTGTTAATAATAAATATATAGATCAATAATAGCGATAAAAATACATATGTATATATAAATAAATAAAAATATTTTTATTTAAAATATATTAATACTTGACTTTTTTTATTGTACTAGTGGCATATATTATAGTACTAAAATAAAATAATTATTAACTTAAATTATCATTTAAATAAAGTTAATAGTAACTATGTCCGCAAACGAGTAAAGTTGAGTCGAACATTGACTTTACGAGCAATGCTCATTTTTTTTTTGACAACTACTCGAACTCGATGAGTCTGTCTTGCTCGAGGCTCGACTCGAAAATAAATCACAAGCGCGCGAGATTGGCTCGAAGTTTGCTCAAGTTAGACATTCAATTAAAAATGTTTAATGAGAGATATCTAGGCAATTTTACATATATTAATTGAGTTACTTATCGAGAGTATAAACTGCATGCTTGAAGTTCAGTTCGTATTTGAAATCCTCGAACTCAGAACAAACACGAGTTTGAACCAAGCTTTGACTCGAGTCTTAGCGAGCTGCTCGACTCGTTTTAGACGCTAATCTATATTGATATATAAAAAGGTTAAGTATTTATCAAAAACACTTTATAAAAAATATGTAAATAATATTGATTCACTAAATTACTTTAAAGGAAAGTTAGGATCAAAATTTTTATTAAGTGATTTGCCGGAAATAATTTTGTATAATCAAGAAAAACTAAATTTGAAAACATGTTAAGTTATACATGAAAATATTTGTAGGCTGTCCACAAGATGTGGTTAACATTTATTGTGGCATTATTTTTTACTTTAATTTTTCACAAAAACAAATTGACTAAAAATCATAAAATACTTTTAGTGCTTTATACACTAGTACGTACCCCGTGCGATGCACGGGACAAAAATATTAAATGTGTTATTTCACATGCTTTGTCCATTTAAGTATATAAAGCAATAGGATTATCATCTATTTTTTATCTCTTTTAATCAGATTTAAGTATAATAAACAATAAGATTATAATATATTTTGCACATCTTTTCATCAACGTTATTTTTTTAGTCAAAATATTAAAATAATTAATATATTATTTCACTAACACATGTATCTTAATTTAAATTTGATTTTAATATATATATTTATTCCTTGATACAAGAGAGAATAACAATTTTACTTATTATTGTTCACCATATAATACTTAATTATTATTTTATTATACATTTTATGTCATATAATGTCATTATTATTTGTTGTTATGTGATTGTTAACAACGATATAACAGGTAATTATGTGGATAATTTTGGATGATTTGAACGTAAAGCATGTACGATTAAATCGACAATGGCCCCGGTCCGAGGTGAACCGAGGTGAAGAGCCGTGATGGGCTTTTACGTGTTGCTTAGTAAAGTGTTTACAGTTCGGTAATTCGGAGAAAAAAGAGATCCCCCTACACATGTCATAGGCCCGCTATTTATAGTAATTTCGGGTTGATACATTGGGATCTGTGCA